CTGGTGGAAGTATTTAGATCCTTTTACTTCATTAAAAGTACTAATACTGTGGTGTGAAAATACTCCAATATAAGATAACGCCCTGTACTCAAAACCTAACTTGAGTAAAAGTATTATCAGCTAAATGTACTTATGAAGAAGATAGTGACCCTGTAATGGAGTGGGTTAGAGGTATAAAGTTACTTGAAATGGAAAATACTTTAAGTACAAGTACCTCAAATAGGTACAGTACTTGGTGACATCCCATCACTAAAAAGTACACAAAGTACATGAATAGACACGAGCCACTTTGACCGAGAACGTGACTCGATGAAGCGGTGGTTCTTATTATTCGTGATCGTATTGATCGAAATGTATTGTTTTTAGGCTCAAGTTGCTGGTTTTAGGAAAGAAAACATCCGTGTGTTCAGTCTTTCCTCAGAGCTAGTTCAGCTCAGTGTGAAGCAGGGTCATAAATAAAACATCCACATAGACATCAATGGCAAAACCCCAAAAAATAAATATAAATCACATTACAAAGTGGAATAACGCAGATTTCTAGCATGTTTCTAGCTCTATTGGAGGATGCATGCTAACATGTATCATAGAAACTAAAGGTGATGATACGTCAGTGTTCATGCTTTAAGAAGAGAGAAATGTTACATTACAGCCTGCGGAAAGTGCCAGATCTGTCTATAGGACAGCCCTTTATGTGACGTTCAAGGCTGTTCCAAGAACTGGGAAATTACACTTTCAGATCCAACCCGCAGCAAAATAGAAAGAACAGGGAAGTTTGAAGACTTGATTCATTTTTGCTGACATGACGTCAGAGCTTACAGCAGCAGAAACAAACATATTGTTATTAATTAACTGAAACATTGTTTGTTTTAGCCCCTTGTTGCAATTTTATCAAACTGTATTAAAGTTGTTGTCAATAATAAAAATTAAAAAAACTTACAACTATATTTAAGATGACAATAAGTCTTCATGTCAAACTTGTTTTATTTGTGTCACAACTAGGCTTTGCCTTCTGTGTGTGTGTGTCGTTGGAGCTCCACACCCTCCTCACGCTACCTGTCAGTCACTCCCTCCTCATCAGCACAACTCCCCTCACCTGTTCAAGCCACTATATCAAGCCCTGCCTCTCAGTCGCTCACTGCCAGATCATTGCCATGTCTACCCGCCCGTTTGGCTCGTCCAGTTCCCGGTTTCCAGTCTTCCTGACCTGCCTCGTCCTGCTGGATTTCCCCCCTCATTTCTTGTCTTGTGCTCGGACTCCCTGTTGTGTTTTGGTAACGATTCCTAGATTGTTCACTACTCATTGAAACCTGTTTCTCACTACCTCTGGTCCTGCATTTGAGTCCACCACCACACCCCGTGACAATTTGTCGACATTACATGTTGAAGTTCATGTTGACCATGACGGCTTCTTTTCAACGTTGCTGGATGTTGTGTCGCATGAGGAAGTAGGAGAGAGCCAAACATCTGCTGCACGAGGAGTTGCATTGTCCTTTTTGTGGCACCTGGAAGTTTATCCATCGTCATTATTTTAACTCACTCAGTCCAAAATAACTTTCAAACGACTTACAGCACGAAGAAAATGCTGATTTTTCCCTATTTTCATCCAGTCATAATGTATATTAGTGAGATTTGAGGATATGAATGGATAGAGAATCATTTTGTTTGACTTTATTCATTCTGAACAATGCAATGAACAGGAAATATAGCAACCAGACAATAAACAAGTTCTCATTATGAAAAATATCGGCATCGAATTTACATTTATGGAAAGCAGCAGGAAAACAATCTCCTCATATAGTCTCACACCTTAAATCAAATCATTAACTCCATATTCATCCGACAAACACAAGATGTGCAGCTCGACTCAAACGACTTGCAGATCTAAGAAGTGATGAAGAGTCCGATCAGAACAATGAACCAGAGCTCTGTTTCCTCTGTCGTCTATCCAGCTCTGAGGTCAGACAGTGATGAAGAGGATGAAGGACGAGATGAAGACCATCAGACAGTGATGAAGAGGAGGATGAAGCACGAGATGAAGACCATCAGACAGTGATGAAGAGGAGGATGAAGACCATAGATAACTCCTCTCACTCCGCTACGACCAGCTGTGACTGAGCAGCTCATTCAGACATCAGATCATCACAACGAGACCTTCAGACGCTGCTTTGGACCCCCGACCTCTGAGAGACTACAATCATCTGAGTCTATAAGGAGAGAATCACTGGATCTGGTTCGAGAGAGTGATTCATTGGATCTAGTTCTCTAGGCAGAGACTGATTCATTGGATGTTTTCTACGCAGATAGTAACAACCACCCAGCAGAGTTCCTGCTACGATCAGTCCCAGTACACAGTAGAGGCCGATCCATCCCGGTCTCTGTGCTTGTGATGGACTTCCTGTCGTTGAAGCACCTCTTCCTCCACTTGATGAGTTTGGTGTCTCAGGTTTGGGCCGATCCCTCTCTGCTGTAAAGAGACCAAACAAGTCTGAGTCATTGATGAGAAGAAACAACATCTCACTACAACATGAACTAAACGTCCTCAACAGATTAAACTGGAACATATTTCACAGATCCTGTAAGAAGGAAGTGTAACGACAATAATCAGGTTCTTTTTAGTCCAGGAAACTTCTGCTGGATCAACTCACCTGTGACGTTGAGGTGACATCTCTTTGATCTCTCATCATGACCTGTGAACACATCACACAGGTAAAGACCTGAGTCAGCAGTCCTGAGTCTGGACATGTGGAGTCTGAGTCGTCCTTCTCTGAGGACGTCTTTGTCAAACTGGACTCGTCCTGCAAACCGTTCATGCTGAGACTCTGGAACCTCAACACCTTCATATAGATGAAACAGGATGAAGAGTCTGACATCAGTTAACATCTCACAGATGATATAAAGGGACTTGAGGGAACCGTCTGTTCTGGTGGTGAAGGTCCATTCCAGAGTGATGTTGTGGTTCTCCTCTGCCTGATAGGAGCTCTGTGTCACATTCACTACTAATGATGCTGTTGAGGAGACAGAGAGGGAGAGTGAGGAGCAGACAAACTGACAACGTTAACATGAGAGCCTTTAAACTCCACCTGGAGATGTTTACTGATGCTGAGCTTTAGAGACACAAAGGTATGAACAAGGTGCATGATTGTAACAATAACTAGAGTCATGTTGAAGTGTGTTAGTGAGGCTGAAGGTGTGTTGAGTCTGTGTGGAGAACAAAGTGAAGCTGTGAACTAACCAGAGACACAGGAGGTCAGTGTGATGAGCAGCAGGATGCTGCAGATCATCTTCTCCCTGTGAGAGGAGACAGAGGACCAGAGTCATCAACACATCACATCACAGTTCAAGAGACACCAGCTACAGTCTGTCTGTGGTCTCTGCAACACGTCTTCTTCTTCTGTGGTTCTTGTGACATCATGACTGATCAGAGGACTGACACCAAGAGAGGACTCACTGCTGTGTTTCTGTGTTTGTCTCATTTCCTCTTTATGAAGTTCCCTATTCTGCCAATGTCACATGCTAACATGCTGACATTGGCAGAATATGCACTGCAGGAGTCAAACCCAGGTCACAGTGTTATCAGCACATAACCGTGGTCAGCTACTACACCGATGTGCACCAAATATCACCAGACCACTCACAGTTTACTTGATGTCTGTTCTCCTGTATGACAGTAGACTATTTAATAATCATGTATTTATGGTTTAACTTCCATATTATTCAGATATAATTCTCATGTATTAGTTTTCTGTCTAGACGGGATTACTGGTTAAAAGATCAACCAGCAGGTTAGAGTCTATGAACCAGAAACACACAGACATGGATTTCACTGTAGGTCTGACATCATATATGTAGAGCTTTATCAACAATACTTACTGATTCTATGATGTTGTTGGAGCTATTTACTTGATATTGTATTTTGTTATTTAATTTATAAGTAGTATTGTTTAATTATTGTAGATGTTTGATATATTAAGATTGTTTTTTCTCTTTCATAGTAATTTGTTTAGTTATATTGTGTTTTGTTGTTTGGGTAATTACTGTGGGCAGCTGTGGCTATATGTATGAGTGGAGAGACAGGACCAGCATGCAGAGACAGCAGGACAGGAGTTTTCTTTGTTCTTTTTGTTAGTTAGTTAGTTTTGTTTGCTTTATTTAATAAATACAAAATTCGGAATCCTGCTTGGACAATCCTCTCTCTTCTGGCTGCGTAAAAATACCGACCACGGTGCAGCAGTGGCGTTTGATTATTGTTTGTTTAAGTTTGATTTTAGTCGACAAATGGCCACTACAGATGTATTTTCATGAAGAGACACTAAACTTAGTGGGACTCTTAGAATAAGCTTCAGGTGGATAATCAACACTATTGTCTTGTTTCCTGTGTGATTGTGACTGCCAGAAAAACGTGTAGTGACTGCTGTTAGTTTCACTTTACATTCTCTGTAAGAGGACTATCACAACCATCACATGTGAAGAATAAAACATCTGCTGACGTTTGGTCCACATTCAGTCAGTGACCTCCACAGAGGAGGATTCATTTTACCGTGAACGTCAACTCAGATACAGTTGATGAGATACAACACTTCTTCTATTGGAGCGCCATGTTTGTTATAACATTCAGATCAGAGCTCGTGAACGCGCGTACTGGTCCGCTGTTCGAGTCCGTCCTGAGGACTGAAGGTTAAAAGTAGAGAAGAAGGAGCCTACCTGTAAATCATCCTTTGAACACTGAGTCTGTAGAGATCAATGATTCACTGGATCTATAAGTCCAGAGAGAACATCTTGATAACAGGACTCACTTTCTGTATAGAGACACGCTGACTCTGTCTCTGTCGTTTTGAGGTAGCAGGTCACAGACCCCTCCCTCTGTGCTGCATCTGTAGTGTGATACATGTTCATTAAATAAAACATTCATCACACGTCATCTGTGTTCTCTGGGAAGTCGAGAATAGTTGTAATATTATAAAAGAAAAACTTGTTTGTATGACAAACAAATCATAATACTGTTACAAAGAAATAAGTTGATGGTGTTTTATTGATAAACTAACCTCCACTCTGACGAGGAGGGATTGTAATTATCTGTGAACTCATATCTCATATTCATGGTCTACTTTATTGTCTTCATACAAACCCTGTAAAGAAAGAAGTCAAGTATTAAATGATCAAGATGCAGTTAACGGGAGAACTGCAGTGGGAACCCTAATTAATATATGTATAATATATATATATATATATATTTAGTCTAATGTTGATTTTTAAGACAAATTGTCAGTCTTTGTAAATCCCAGACCGCACTGAGACGGGTCTCTGGAGGTGCGGCCGCTTCAGAGACGCGTCTGTCGGGCAGAACATCTGATGCGCTGGTGGTGCGTTCAATAGCAGATTAAATGCAGACATGGAGCTCTTGCTGTTGATCGGTTGTTCAGTGAGGAGGAGGAGGAGGAAAGGTCTAGAGTCCATGGTAATGAAATATCTCTGCTCCTCCCACATCCACAGTCCGTGTGAAGTAGTAGAGCCCGCCTCCTGCTTCATGTGATTGGCTGGATGGATGAAGCGTGACATCGACTCCTCACGCAGATTATCAAACAGATTATAAGAAGATTGGCCTGAAGTTATCACAATGTTGGTGTTCTTGCTGTTAATCAGAAGTTGTACTTCTGCATGTTTATATATTTATTTATTAGGAACACAATGCTGAGCCCAACAAGATCTGAAGGTATGAAATATGAATCTGAGAGAAGAGTCATGAAATAGTACTTGAAGGAAATGCAGCTCAATCAGAAAGAAGATCAGACTTTATGTTTCAGAAGCTGCATTAGAGGTGGTCACCAAGAATTCAGTTTATATATTTAATAAGTTAATATGAAGATGAATGAGCTTCGTGAAGCGGCTGCTTACAGTTCAGTGGAGTTGTGACATGACTTCCTTTCTACAACAGCTGAGGAACGTTCATGACCTGGTGATTACCACATCTGTAGGACAGCCCTTCATAGGGATGTGACGTTAACGGCCGTTCCAGAAGGTGGGAAATTACACATCCAAATCGAATCCACACCAAAAAACTGAAAAACACGGAAGTTTAAAGAGACTTTGATTCATTTTTCCTGACATTAAGTTAGAAAGGAACAGAGAGGATGTTTTCAAAGAATGAAAGTTGTTGATTCCTCCATATTGTTATAACTTAACGAACGTTTACTAAGAAGCGATTGCTTGTTTTTGCAGTTTATTGCAATTTTATTAAATTGTATTCCGCTGTGCTGTCGTGTTGTTCAGGTATTTATGAAGAGTTCTTTAAATGCTGTGTTTGTGTTTAACGCTGTTACAGTCTGCAGTCTGTACGAGGAACACACTGTGAAGGTGCCACTATGCGCTCTGAGTGACTAACACCAACATGTCTCACTGTTTTCACTGTTTTCACTGTTTTTACAAAACAAACAGTCAATCGATTAATGGAGAAAATAATCAGCAGATTAATCCATAATGAAAATAAGTATTAGTTAATAGTTCAAAAATGAGCTCCAGCTCAACAACTGCAACATTAAAATCCTCCTTTAACATGAACGCATCAGTTATTATACTTAAATCATTTTACTAGGAGGACATTTTTTAAATCAAAATGAACACAAAATGAAAGTTCCTCAGAGTAACAATAATAATTCATGATAAAACTTCAGTTATTACCGATGAGGCTCTACACGTTACCCTGAGTACATTTCTAAATGATTGCATCCAAACAGTCTCCTCTTAATATGAAAATATTAATATTAATAATCCAACTGAAACTTTAGGACTCACTTCTATTCTCTTTATTCTTTTTAAACTGACGTTGTGCTTTATTGTTGATGATATTTCTGTCCGACTTGTTTGGTATTTAACCAGAACCAGAATCAGGTTTATTGCTTTTTATTACGTTTATGATTTTTTTCACATACAAATAATTTGTCTTGTTATTGTGGAGCGTGACGTCGCAACACACACAGTGAGAGTGAACACAGGCCGTTTATATTCTAGCATAAAGAGTTGTACAGCGATTAAAACGAGGAGAATTAAACGTTTCATGTTTTCACTGTGAAGCACTTTCATACTTTGGTTTTACTTCATAAATAAATCTTTCATGTGTTTGTGGCATTTCACTGCTGGAGATGTTTCTCTCATTTTCAACTATGTATTCACTGTTTTGAGTTTAATATGGATTAACAGTAGTTAATTCATTAACAGGAGCAAAGTGGGACTTTGTTCCAGATACGTGTCCGTAGCTGCTTCCTCTTTAGTCTGGACTCTGGAGACAGAAGGGAGACCTGAACCAGACCTGAACCAGACCAGTGTAGAGGTCTGGATGGTTTGTAATGGAGCAGCAGGGCAGAAATGTATTCATGTCCGAGAAATCACGAAGCGCTTCATTAACCAGCGGTAGATATTTAAAGAACTGAGGGCGGCTCAACACTATGACAGCTTTTCTTTTTTCACGTTTTTAATGTGTCACATGAGGAAGTAGGAGGGAACCAAAATGTCTGCTGCACGAGGAGCTGCATCATCCATGTTGTTGCACTTGAAAGTGAAAGTGATGCTGAAGCAGCATCAGAGTGAAGTTTAGATAAAAACCAACTTTTAACTGCTGTTATTAATGAATCATCACTTCTCTTCTGAACTTGAGATGTGTTCCATGTTGACATGACTGATGAGGGATCAACTGTTCACATCTTCCTCGTGCTGCTTCAGTTCAGTTGGTTGAGATCAAACGTTCATCGTCTCACATGAACTCAGCACACGGTGACATTAATGTGTTTGAATATGAAGCTGTAGTTTAAGCTCACTGTGTTTCATCCATCGTCAGGATTATAACTCTCTGAGTCCAAAGGAACTT